AAACAAAACAAAACAACAAAAGGATTGGAGACATAGTCCACTGATAGAGTGCTCACCTAGCATATCCAGGCCCTTCATTCAATCCCCAGTGCTCTGAAACAAAACGAAACAATGACCAGATAGAGATGGTTGAGGTGGGATTTGTGATCAGAACTGAAAAGTCACAGCAGGGAGGTAGAGATGAGGAAAAACACATTAGGTAAAAGTGACGTACAGAGAAACTCCTGGGATGACACCTGGATGCTTTCCAGCATGGATAGGGGAGAGGCACGTAAGCCCCACCCATAGCTGAGGAGCTGCATAGGTGGTTAGTGACTAGTGGTTAGTGACTATTGGGGGATGGGAGTCAACTTTCCAGCATGGATGGGGAGAGGCACGTGAACCCCCACCTTTAGCTGAGAAGCTATATTGGCAGTTAATGACTGTTGGGGGTTGGGAGTCATTTTGTCTTCAGAAGTGGAAGATGCCTTGTATGGGTAAATTGCTCAAGATCCTAAACAAGGCCTCCACACATGCACATTCAGGCAGCCTTAATTGGGTTGTTTAGAAGGGAAAAAGACATGAAAGCAGAAGAACTATGTTAGGAGAAAGAGAGGGTCCACGGGGAGCAGGAAGGGGGTCAGCAAGAGGGGGTGATTATGATCAAAATACATAATCTACATGTATGAAATTCTCAAGAATAAATAAAAAATATTTTAAAAAGAAAGATAGACATTTACTGAGAATTTTGGGAGTGTTTCTTGGCCTCTCAGGTCATTCCAGTTTATGTTCTCCTGCTTCTTTCAGCTCCAGTGTTGATACTAGCTTCTTCCTCTGTAATTTAATTTTATATGAGGCATATCTGTCTGAAACGGCTTAAATGTCCCTCCCCCTTTCCACAGTCATGTTGAAACTTGATCTCCAAAGCAACAGAATATTAGGGTGGGGTCTTTAGGAGGTATTGAGTCACGAGGTTCTGCCCTTTTGAATCCTATTGTGTACCTATGAGGACATAGGATGCCTGGCTCTCAGGAATGGAATAGCAAGATGCCATTCTAGAGGCAGCGAACAGTCCTGGATACTAAATCTGCTGACACCTTAATCTTGGACAACTCTTCCTCCAGAACTATGAGAAATAAATTTCTGTCCTTTATAAAACGTAAAAATTACTCCTGTCTTAGGTATTTTGCTACAGCATTACTAATGGAACACGTACACACTCATGCATGCACACACGCACACACACTGAAAACTCAGGTCAGTTATACATCAAGTGTTAGTAGTAATTACTTGTGAGAATACAGTCTCTTGCTTAAGCAGCATTGTGCTTCTCTTTTTCCTTGTTCTCTTATTGCCATCTTTAGCCAAGTTTCACCTCCTTCTTCATGTTCTTAATTTTTCCTGCTAAAGCTGTGAGAAAGGGATTCTGGGGTTTTACTAAAGCACAAGTCTTAGGGAGGAGCCTAGGGAGAGAGCTGGGCAGCTTGAGGGTGAGGCTCAGTGAAGAAAAGCACACACTCAATCTCCTTCCATATACTATGCCTTCTGAGCTATTTTTGAGTGTGTAAGGAGCATGATTAATAATATTAGGTCTTCTGGGAGGTGTGGACACCCTACAAATACAGGGCACAAGTCAGGGAAGATCCTCTGTCTAGTATCTGATGACTGGAACTGGCATTCGGGCCAGAGGTGGGCCAGTGAAAGTGACAGAGGGCCATAAACGTGAACTACGGAAATAGGGGAGGCAGCTATCATTACATTTGATTATTGGGACAGATAATAAGTTTAATCTTGGGGAAACCTTTACTGCAAAGAGATCACTTTGAATTTCTTTGAAGCACTTCTAGTGGGCTATTGTGATTTTATGAGAATTTATACCTCTTGGATACTCCTTAGACATGGAACTGTTCACTGAGTATTGAATACTCCTACACTTAGGCATCTCCTGCCACCCTCTATGACTCCCCCATAACCCTGGAATTCTCACAGCTCCCCTCCAAAGACTAACAAAAGACTAAACAGCCAACAAAATCCTCCTAATTGCGTGATCATTCAGACTAAGTTGTTTGCCCATTCGCTAGCCTGCCCCGGTTCCTTTGTTCTTTGTGTATTCCATCTGTATAGAGTTGTAAACCCATTGGGTTTGTTGGCTTTTCTACTTAAGTTGTTTATTGTGCCAAACCTCTTTCATTCAGGGTGGAAAGGCTTGTAAACATAAGAATACATGCCACACATGTCAGGTGCATGCTGCTTTGTTTCAAAAACCAGTTTCTTGTAAAACAGAGCTTATCAAACTCTAAAACTAAGAAATCCACAAGTTCCTTTTCCAAATTGTTTGCCTAACCTATAGTATATATTTCTAAAACAATATATATATATATATAGTATATATTTCTAAAACAATCCCAACTGAACTCACTCATTCACAGAAACTTACGAAATTTCTCTTATTAGCAAAGCTTTTCCACAGCTTTGTAGTCATGTTGACAATCACTATAAACTGCTAAATGCCATAGCAGAAAAACACATTCAACACAAAATAGAAAAAGACACGTAGGAGAGCAACAGCTTTGCATTCCAGGAAGTTGAGCATCTCCTTTGGGAACCAGGCATGGGGTCTGGGAGATAGAAATGTTCTAGAAGAAAAAAGACAAAAGGTTGGACCTTCCTAAGGCAAATGCCTTAGGAAGACGAGTAAATGCATTCTTCACAAAGCATGGTACATGCATCGGATGGGTTTTTAAGTAATGTCGTTTATTCAAGGTTAAATAGTGGGAGAGATAGAGAATGAATGTTTGGGTTTGGTTCCAAAGTTGTCTGTGACATTTATCTACTTATTTTTATTTTTGAGATTATAATATAATTACATTTCTCCTTTCCCTTCCCTCTAACCAAACCCCTCCCTGCTCTCTTTCAGATTCATTGTCCTCTTTCGTCTAAGATCTTTCTATGGCATCATACTGCTTGCTAGCAAGGCAAAATACTTTAAATGTTGTATGATGACATCTGCATGAAGTTCAAGAACAGAGACCATGTATCCATGATGAAACGAGCCAGAACTGTACATACTCCATCCCGTTCTACTCTCTTGCTAAATGAGACTTCTCTGTGTTGCCCAGGCTGGTCTTGAACTCCTTCTGCAGACTCAGTTAGCTGAGACTACAGGCAGGTAGGTGCCTGCTTCTCTGGATGTAGGTGTTTGGGGAAGAGGAAGACTTAGAGTGCTGGGCAGATTTCACACACCTCAAAAAAATTATTGAATTGCTAGGCATGATGATTCACATCCCAGATCCCAGCACTTGAAAGACAGAGACAGGAGAATTGCCATGAGTTCAAAGTGCAGCTTGGCTTACTATCTCAAAAAAAAAAAAAATCATTGAGTTGCATCCTTAACATTTGTGTACTTTATAGAATATAAATATGTCCTAATAAAAATGTAAATAAAAGAAAATTGAAAGCTGATTTCTGTGTTTTCATGTTCTTTCACAGGCTACTTATCTGAAAAATATTTTTCTCTAAAGTGAACTAAATATATGCAAATGAGAAAAGACTGGTTTGACTTCTCTCGAATGTACATTTTTACTATAGTCTGTTTTCAATTACTCCTCCAAAACATGGGTCTAAGAGGTGAAGAGTGGCCTAGGAATCCTTCAGGATCCTTTGAAATTCCAATGAAAGCAAGGCCTGAGAGTTTCCATCTGGAAATGATGCACACAGCCATAGAATTCTGCACAGGTTTTGGAAATAAATACACTCTTGAACCATGTGCAGAGCCATTTAGTGCCCAAAGATCTCAAAACATGGTCTTCTGAGTTAAGTTAGACTCTTTCCTACATTTGAGGGGGAGAAGTAGTTCGTAAGAAAGAAAATAGCTAAAGGAAAACAAGTCCCAGAGCTTTCATTGTTGGTTTGTGCTGATATTTCATAGCTGATTTTATCTCATTAGCTTTCGTCCATCCGTCTCCCCCGCCCCCCACCCCACTCCCGTTTGCCTCCGCATCTTCCTCTGGGAGTCCTGGAGTTTAAAAGAATCTCTGATACTTTGTATCCAATCCATTGTGACTGAATTACATCAGAAACTGTTGGAATTTACCTTTTACTTGAGAATAATCCACTCAAAACCGAGTTCCTTTTATGAAATGGAATTATTTAATTTTTCACAGAATACCTCAAAACCCAGGACTGAAATAAAGCGTAATATGACAACACAGTAATGAAAGTTTTATTCCTTTAATGAAGTTGACTCTGAAGTTTGTCCTTTTTACATTCCGATATTTAAAATGCTATTCTACTGGCAATTATCTTGGCTCTGAAACATTAGAATGGTCTCTGACCAAACTTTAGATTCCAATCTGACCCAAGAAACTTTTGTAATTCATGCTCACTGGATTCCTGCTCCTGATTCAGAGCCTGTGAGAAGGGAAATACAACCCCCTCCAAACTCTCTCTCTCTCTCTCTCTCTGTGTGTGTGTGTGTGTGTGTGTGTGTGTGTGTCTGTGTCTGTGTGTGTGTGAGCTATTTTTTCTGTACAACTCTTTGTATTTTTCTTCCCCATGGGTGATGAAAGCATACATTTATCGAATCCTTCACAGAATGTACCAGTTACTGTTCTAAAACCTTTACACGATTTAATTCGCTCTTCACAACTATTTAAAAGTCTCTTTTTAAAAAGAAAAGAAAAAAATATTTTATAAAAGTGCAAACGGTTCTTAAAGGCCCAAATAATATAAATTAAGCATCAGATGCAAACATCTGGCTGCAATTCCTGATACTGTACTTCCTGCTGTGGCGAAATTAAATAAGACACACTGAAGCCTGGGAAATGGATACTGCTGGTCTGTTCGCCGGGCAAAGAATTTTTTTCGAGTTACAATACTGTATTGTTTTTCACCAAAATCTGCAGGCTCTTTCACAGATGGAAGCCAGGAGAGATGCGCAGGGTGGCCAGAGAGTTTCCCGCCAGGAACAAGACTGAAAGGAAAAGGCTAGTGCTAAGGAATCGGGGTTTATTCCCAAGGGTATGGCGGAAAAGGTGAAGGGGCCCGCGGGGGGGGGGGTCTTGAGGCCCCCGCAGCTGGCTCGCCCGCTGGCTCCAGTGGGAGGCTCTGATCAAGGCCCGCCTTCAGGGCAGCATGGCCCAATCAGCGACAGGCACGGCGCTTCGGGCCCGCCCCCGCCCCCACGGCCATATAAGATTGGGCCTGGCGGGCCTCCGCAACGCAGTGGTCGCCAGACTTCGGGCCGGGAGTGTGGAAGCCCGGCCGCCGCCTCTGCTGCCGCCTCCGCCGCCGTCCCCCGCCCCCCACAGGCAGCGCCGCCCCTCTGTGGACGCCC